GGTCACCTGGGGACCAGGACATTGGAGCAGTCACAGTAACAGTGAGGGTGGCACCAGGCCAGGGAGAGGGACAGGTGGGGTCACCTGGGGACCAGAACATTGGAGCAGTCACAGTAACAGTGAGGGTGGCACCAGGCCAGGAGGGGGCAGGTGGACCCATGGATGGCCCAGCTGTGGCAGGGAGCATGCGGCCACCCTCTGGCTCCCGGGTCTCAGCCCGGTGGTCTCAGCCCCTCATCCCTAGCAGGGTGGCCACACGTGAGCCTCTGGCAGGAGCTGAGATTTGCCCCTCAATCCTATCTGGAGGTTGTGCAGAGCAAGGGACAGTCCTTCAGTGGAGCTCCATGCTCTCAGGTCAAGGGGTGTCCAGCCCCCTGTCTGGGCTGCAGAAGGCTGGCAGCCCAGCGGCCACCTCGGGCACAGTGGCCGTGGATGTGACGCGAGCACAGGCTCCGTGGGAGGACGTGCTGGCTGGAGAGTGACTCACAGAAACAGCTCCTTCTGATGAGGGTCTTCCAGGTTGAACTGGTTCTTTCTTATGAGTTCAAAGAATTCCCCTCGCCTCCTTGAAACACAGAAAACATGAGGCAGTTAGTTATGAGGTCCCTGCTCGCCCCCGTGACCTAGAGGGGGTACACCTCCCCTCTCATGGCCCAGGAGACCACCATCTGAAAAGGCGTGATTCCCCACTTTCCCTCTGCTCGCGTGGTTTTGGTGGCATGTTCAACTTCGCCTGGTTTTTAGCCACAAAGAGCAGTCCTTTCAATTGTGGGATATTTTAATAAAAAAGTGAGTAACAAGTGTGACATCAAGTGGGATGTAAGGCATTTTAGGGTCGGGACCTAATGAGACCTACAGGTTTCAGGTTAGCTCTGTCTACCGTGTTCCTACACATTGTGACCGTGTCAGGAAGGCTCTGGAAGCCAGGGAAGGCCTGGTGAGTAGTGTAGCCTCTGTGGTCATCCCAGGAGCTGGCAGGGGCAGCGGGAGGAGCTGCTTTGGGCCCAGCACTGCTGAGTATCTGAAGAAGGACTCGGCACAGTGCTCAAGGTCCAGCTGGAGAGAGACCCAGGGAAAGGAACGCCCGTGTGACGGCACTGACCGCACCTGCTGAGAACCACAGTCAGGAGGTCTCACCTGGTCAGGTGAGACCCCCGAGGCCCAGAAGGCCTGGGCAGGCTGTGAGGCCACAGGTGGTTCTCGAGGGCCTGGTCCTGTGGCAGTCCTCACTCAGCAATCACTTGATGGGAAGTTTACTGTGTTTCCTTCTGTCCTCCTTAACTCAGTGTCCACCCCTCACGCAGCAGGTGTTGTGGGTGCTGCTGGGGCCGCGACAGTGGACATGTGGCGTAGGTGGCTGGGTGTTTGTGCTGTTTGCTTTGCTTCCCCAACAGTGGCTCAAACTGGCCCCAGGACCCTCGTGCAGAGGACAGTGTGCTCCTGGGAAATCGGGCGACCCCCACTCCCCATCTCACAGGAGCACCAGCACTCTCCCTGCGAGCTGGGAACCCCCGACTGTCGGGCTCTCGGAGAAGTGCCTTGCTGGGCAGATGCACAATCACAAACGCCACCTTCACCGTCTCAAAGTCGTACGCAAATGTCCCCTTCTGGTGCCAGAATCAAATAAAAAGAAACCTGAGCTGCTTTTTTGGCTCTTGTAGCTCTTCCTGCCCCTGGGGTTGGATGGTCGTAGGAAGGAGGTGCGAATGGAGTGAGTCCCGTGTGGGAAAGGGGGAAGGCCACAGGCCCACGAACCTTCAGCGGGAATGACCTTGAGTCAGAGATCTGGGCGATCACGGCTTCAGAGACACCGTGGGAGATGAAGAAGGGAAGCAGCCATGTGCTCTGTGAGTTCTAGCTCTCAGTGAGCAATGGGACAGAGTTCTCTGGTTGCTAAACTTCCAACTCCCGCCCACCTGAGGGTCAGCGCTGCCAGGGGTCTGAGGACTGCCCAGACCTGGGCCCGGTGCAGGAAGCCCGCAAGGCCTGCCTCGGAGGGGTCTCCTGAGACTCACTTGATGTACAGCGCCAGGTCTGTGGCCAGGATGGCTTGCTTGATCATCTTCAGCGTGGCCTTGTATTCTTCCACAGAGAGGCCGCTGAGAATCTGGTTGCCCTTGATAGGGAAAAGAGAAGCATCACTAGCACTCCATCCAGAGAAAAAGGCCGCGGGAGCCATCCGCGACATCTGGAGATGGCACCGTCTGCTCTTCCCCGCCACCCTGGGTGACATGCCACTTGTTCCCAGGCCTGAGCACAGACAGAACATCTCCTGGCCACCTACTCTTCCTGCTGGCAGGTTTGGGGCTACAATCTAACAGCAAGTAAAACTGACAAGTGAAGGGGTGTCAGGAGCGGAGCTGCGAGGGTCAAACCGACGATCCGGGTCACGGCCCTGTGGCTTCTGGGATAAGCCCAGAAGTATCCTCATGTGAATCACACACCTTGGTGGCTTTCTAGTGTCAGACGGAGGAGAACGCACAGCGCAGACACACAGAACATCTGTGAACGGAGTCAGATGTGTCTCCTTAATCAGCGCCAACAAAAGCCCAGAGGCCTGGGAACGAGGCCAGGAGGCAGAGGGTTTGCTGTGAGGACCAGGCACCTGCCGGCCATCCAGGCGGGGGCCAGAGTGCGCGGGCTGTCGAGGCACTGCAGCAGTGGCATGGCTGAATCAATGGCCAAACGCGTCACTCGGCCACGGACATAGAGGTCCTCTAAACACTGAGTCATTTTAGATTCCGAGCCAAGCGGAGATGCTTGTATTCAAGATAAAACAACCTCAAGCACAACAGGAGGCGTCTCCACATTCTTACTTTTCCTTCCCCAGCAGAGGCTGTAACTTCTGCACATCATGTTAAAGGACGAACTATACAGCAGGCCTCGCTGTGGAGCCGACACACGTACAGCCGAGTCCACCTGTGCCCACCACCGTAACCTGTACTGTCCAGTAAAAGAAGAACTTCCAACACGCGGATGGCAGAGCTGCCTACGAGGACAGCAAGGCCTTTCCACACGACACCACACACATTTCTGCAGAGTCTTGGTTTTGAAAAGCTGCACTCTGGAAATCGCACACTTACGGGGAAAACAGGGTTGGGATAGACCACGCGAAACCTAGGCATAGAACCAGGCCCAGGCCAGACCTCTGGCTGAGCAGGTCCCCGTGCCCCTGAGACGTGAGAGCAAGAAACCAGCAGTGGAAATGAGAAGGTGGGCGCTGAGGCGAAGCCAGGCAGGCCAGGACCCAGGTGACCACCAACATGGAGCAAGGCCCGCACCTCTGGGTGCCTGTTTGACATTCTTAAAACAGACCCTGCCCCCAGGAGACGGGGTGGGGGCCTTCCTTCCCTGCCGAACTCAGAATCCAGCACCCACAACTCTGGCTCATCGTAGCCCGGACAACCTGTGTAAGAATTGCTCCTAGAGTATACTGCAGTGACACAGGAACCAGCTGTGACAGTCACAGGCCCTGGCAACGCCCCCGATGAGGCCATCTATGGGACGTTCTGCGGAGGCTGGAGCAGGCTGGAGGGTCCTGAGGAGTGGGAGCAGGTCCTCACACCTCAAGTGACAGCCGGCAGGTCCTGTCAAGGTCCTGCAGGTGAGGGGACGGGCCAGGACCTGCGTCTGGACACCTCCCTTTGACACGGGGAGTCTCAGGGCCGGGCTGTCTGACTCCCACTAGGGGGCGCTCTGTGGGGAGCACGCATTGCCCCAGGGCAGCGCTCCACGGGGCTCCCCAGGCTCCCGGCACAGGGGCTTCCTGCCAGAACAGAGCTGAGAGCACCCGTGGCGCCTGCTCTCCAAGTCTGCAGAGGCCCGCAGGCAGCTGTGGGTGAGGAAGGCGCTAGAGGGAAGCCACCACGCGGGAAGGGGGAGCCTGAGCCTTCCCGTCAAGCTCCAACTCCCCGGCACCGGCCATCTGGCTTCTCCATTGAGAACCAGGGACGACATGGTGGGACCTCAGGGATGGAGGGACTCTGGGTATTGTCCCCAGGCTCAGAGAGGCACTAGCCCAGGGCCCACCCACAGACGCGGTGATGTGTATGCTTTGGGGTCCCCCAGCCAGTGCTTGTCAGCACAGCAGTCAGGGCTTCCCTCTGTCACACGGGTCGCACGAGCGGACAGAGATGGCACAGAGGCCCCAGGCCTGCACTCGGCAAACGCCCCCTCAAATGCCCTGGCGTCCTCTCCTGCTCACTGCCCTTAAGGTAGGGAGGTTCTGTGCTCGGCCTGCGTCTGCGCACACGGACAGCGGTCCAGGCGGCCCGGCCGTCCAACAGCGCCCTTCCTGGACAGCATGGTAGCATTAGACGTTCTAGTGAAGAGAGGGCTGAGTGCTTCTTGGTGGCACAGCAGTGCTCAGTGTGCACCAGGCCAAGCCAACGCCCTGCGCCACAGGCTGCAGAAGCCACAGAGCCATTCCCACGGGGCGGCCAACGCAGCCCCGCAACCCACGGGGCAACATGGAGACGGCTCAGGTTGGCAGAGACGCTGCGAGGTCTCCGCAGATCTGGTTCCTGTTGCTACCCAAACGAGAAGGGCGCGTATTCGGGCTTAGCGCTGCAGGTGGGAGCAGCAGGCGGGAGCTGCAGAGGGGGACTCACGGGGCTGTTGAGGATCATCAGGCACTGGTCGAAGTGGTGGTGTTCCATGATGGAGTGGCAGTACAGCTGGGCCAGCGGGTGCTCTGTCCTGTGGGCGTGGAGAGAGGAGAGGCCCTCAGTGTGGCGAGCTCAGCAGACGGCATCACCCAGCAGCCAAGCCCGCCCTCCGTCCTCCGCCCTCCGTCCTCCGGGTGAGCAGCCACCTCTGGAGCAGGCAGACTGCCCCGAGGCAGGAGACCCTGCCTGTTCTGAGTGTGAGCAGTGTTGGTGTTTTAGCAGAGTGGACCAGCAGTGTGGGGACAGGAAGGGAGAACCGCCCCAGGGGTAAGAAAACACCTGTTATACGTAAATATTATCGCACACATTACAGTTTTCCATTTTAAAACTGCAACTGACTCAGACTCTGAAACCACTTCACAGGTTAGCTTTGCCTTTGCAGTAAAGCTCAGGCGGGGGTCGATGTTCCCAGCACTGATGAGGTGGAATTCCGGCCCTGTGCACTGGACCGAGGCCCAGGGAGCTGCCCAGGCTCAGCCCCCTGGAGGGAAGCAGGCAGCTGAGTCAGTTGGTTCCTGGTTCCTGCAGTGCCCGACGTCGCCAGCTCTCTGAGTTGACCCAGTGGTGCCCGGGCTGAGCAGAGAGGCAAGGCAGTGCCCAGTTCAGCAGGCGGGAGACAGCCAGGCCTGCACAGGGCGCACTGCCTGTATCCAGTGCTCGCCTCTGGCCCTGCGCAGCCCCCACCATCTCTGCTCCCAGCTGCAGGAGGGGGCCGGTGAGTGCTGGCAGGTGTCCGAGGCCCCTGGCTAGTTGCCACTCCCTGCGGTTCTCTGACCAGTAGGTAATTTGTGGAGGGTTCAGAAGATGCTCGAGGCTGAAGGACTGTGAGGTGTGAGCACCTGGCCAAGTGAGCCGCCACAGGGAGATGAGGGCGTGAAGGTGAGGGCCGCCAGGCCCAGAGCCCGCCTGCCTCACCCATGCTCACTCCTGGTCCTCGGCAAGGGGAAAGGCGAGCAGGCATGGCCGGAAGGAGAAGGAGGCCTGGGCCGCCTGGTGAGCTAGGAGGCCAGGGGGCTTCCAGAAGCCTGAGCCAGGGAGGCTGCAGGCCTTGAGCACTCCGCCGTCCCAGGTGGGGCCTGCGGGAAACCAGGCAGAGACTGCTGCAAGACGGGCATCTCGCCATGTGCTCTGGTGACGGAGGTTCAGAGGTCGCTGAACTTGAACCTGCTTGGGTGGACACACATGGCGGAGGGGGGATCCGAGTGCATCTCCTGCCCTGCATCACTCTGACCAGCGCCTCGGTGCTCCACGTGGCCTCCACGGCTGCCTGGGCTAGGAAAGGCAGGCGGGGCCTCGACACCAAGCTGGAACGTCAGCGGGCATCACTTCAGCAGACGCAGACAGGGTGCGTCCCCTCGGGGAGTGGACAGGGGCAGGCGTGCTCGCCTGACATCGAGAGCAGAGCCTTGTGAGCCCGCAGGAGGGAGGCAGGGCCCCGCTCCCGGCTCACAGCCATGCTCAGAAAGCCAGGCTTCGTACCCTGCGGCCTCCCACTCCGGCAGACGCTGGTGCCAGAAGGATCTGGAAAACCCTGCGGGCAGGGGTCCATTCCCTGAGCTCAGAGCTGTGGCACTCAGCATGCCTGGCCAGCCACGGGTCCAGCTCTGAGAGCGCCGTCAGGATGTGGGCAGAAACTGGAAGCTTGCAACAACAGGCAGCAGAGCCCTCCGGAAGGCCACCCTGCACGCCTCCCGCCCCCAGGACCACCAGCACCAGCAGCCGAGACACGCTCCTCGCTCAGGGCCCAGACCTCTCCCGTCACCTGTCCTGCACACCAACGCCCTGGGGTCTGCATGGCCTCCCTTCTCTGCGCCCATTTTAAGCTGGCGTCCATCTGACCCTCTGCTCCTGGCCCTGGCTGGCACTTCCCGTCTCTTCACGTCAGGGATAGGCACACACCCCACAGCCTCGGGGCAGTGCGGCCCAGACTGATGGCCGCTGCCCCCACCCACCAAGGCACAAGGCAGGTCGTGGACACCCGGATGGCTGAGGGCAGCCCAGGGGACATCCAGGACCCGTGGTGTCAGCTGGCACAGGCCCTGTTCCGAGCAGGCGGCAGCAGCGGTCAGTCCTTCAGAGTCACAAGCCCCCCGTTCCCGCAGGGTGGGCTCTCCATGGCGGCCGCTGACGTTGGGTGTTTGTACTGACTCTTCACTACCACCGGGGTCTCCAGGCTGCCATGACCCAGCCTTGGCAGGGGCACCTCACACTAGACAGGCTCCATGGGTGGCCTTGGGACCCCGCCTGCACTCCCCTTGGTCCCCTGGAGGCCGACCAGTCCAAAGGCAGAGCAGGACGCCAACCCCTTCCTGCACCTCCATCTCCAGGGCCGGCGACCCCCTTAGGACTCCTCTCCATCTGGACCAACTCCTTGTGGGACTGTGCCTTCCACCTGTCCTCCGTGCCACCCTCCAGAGGGCCCGCCCCGTCTTCATGCAGGCGACAAGTGGCTCAGATTTAAATGGAACACTGGCCCTGGCCAGCACTCCCTCCTCCAGCAGTGGAG